ATACGCCTGGACCGTTCAAACGAGGCCCCAAATTCCTTCCTCCACGGACACCTGCCCAGGGCTGGCTCTGGGTTGCACTCTGAGCACATGCGGAAACGCGTGCTTTGAGCTGCGAATGGACAAAACTTGACAAAACGACAAAGCTCTGAGCACATCATTCCGGCAGGGTCCACGCCTGGATTGTGGTCCATATCTGCCACGTCTATTAATACCGATCATGTCCGCTTGGAAAGTCTCGCACTGTCATCGTCTCATTGTCCTTCTCAACTGCCTAACCGCGTCGAGTCTGTCCGACACACCCACCTTGAACCGAAGGCTTTCGCTCAGGAGGATCACGTCGGCTCTTGCCAGCCCCAGTAGAGTCGGGACCGTCGCGCTTTGGCTTTCGACACGGACTACTAACCATTATCTGAAATACTAAAGAGCTTCAGGGAGAAAAATCACCTTAATTAGCTCCAACCGGCCCCGGTAACGTTGGGACCATGGAACCTCGGATATCCGATCCCCGTCCTCCTCTTACGTATCACTCTCCCATAGCACTCTCCTCCACAATCTCGGGCTCATTCACGCCTCAGCATGCTCGTGAAGGTTATAGCCGAGCTCAAACGAGCACCATGTCTACCCCTGGTGCATGTGTGTCTGAACCGCTCCGTCGGTAGTTGAGGGCCAAGGCGTCCACATGGTCGGCAGAAACGGGCCTACGCAGCCTAAACTTAACATACATGAAACAGGCATGCGTGGTCCACCGAATCGTTCATTGCGGTAAGCAAATGCTATTCCCTCCTTTTCCATAACAGTTTCAATAACAGTCCAAAAATCTCTGGCCTTTGGCTCTGCCTCAGCTAAGGTGTCCGGCTCCTCCCCCGTGGAGCTTTCCTCATGCGAGTCGACGCGAAAGAATCGGGAAAGTGTCGGTCTCAGTTGCCAATTCTTCGGTTTTGGATGCTGCGTCTGAAGCTAAATTTACTGAGCCCGTCAACACCCTTTGTAGTACAACCGACCTAAGCAGCCTAAACCGGTCAATGGACAAATCGGAAACCGACGCTATCCGGCGTGATTTGGAAACCGGGGCTTGCTGGACCAATCGCCACTGATGTTCTTCATGGACTCTGCGAACTGCACGCGCTCACCAGGGGCCCAACATGGCTCTGGGGGACAACACGCAACCACCGCCAGCATGGACGGTTTGGGAAGTGGATGTTCTTCAAAAGAGCCAGCCCGGATGCTGTGGGACGGCACGCATGCACCATTGCTGTTGTCAAGGTCCGCTTAAGGGGAAAGGGGATACAGGAGCTGCGCGGCTTGACTGGAAAAGGTGAAGTCAAATTTCGCTGACAGGAGGGTGTGTGAGCGCCATTATGCTGTTAGGGCAGAAGGTGAGGGCACATTCGCTCAAGAGGGCAAGGGGCGAATGAGCTATGTGCGTGAAGTATGGTTTGGGGCGGGGTGGAGGTGTGAGCTAAGTCACTTTAGGGAGAGAAGGGGAATGAAGCTTATTAAAACGTATTGCAGTTTAGTGCGAGTGGGGCTAGCTATGTGACTTCAGAAGGGTGTGTCAAAGCTTTGCATGTGTATTTCGTTTGGCGAAGGTGCGAGAGCTTTGTGATGGGGATTCCGGTATCCCTGAAAAGAACGCCCAACCCGAAACCCTAAACCCTAAACCAGAAGTCTAGTAGAGTCCTGAAGCCCCGATGAGTCACCTGGAAGAGTTTGAATGCGGCGAAGCAAGGCGCAGCGGCAGCAGCAGCAGCGACTGGACCGTTCGGAGGCGCTGGGTGATGTTTGTCCTGCGTCAGTTTCGCTTCGGATATTCAGGACCCTGGAGTTAGGGCCACAAACGACACTTACACAATTCACTGTTAAAGCCTACCCCTACAAGGTCTATTGCCTCAAAAAAGAGGCAGCGACAAGTTATGATCCAGCGCCCACGGTCTGCATCCTGGAATGCTTCACTTATCCTTTCCTATTCCTTTTTGGCTAGTCCCTTTTGGATTTCCGACCTTTGGAGTTTTGGCTTGCCTTTTCTGGCAGGTCCTCCGCTTCGCTATCATTTTCGCGCCGTTTTTTCTTGGCAGCAGCAACAAAGCTTTCAAGCCTATGAAGTAGAGTGCGTGGGTCACTTTTGGAGCGCTCAAGGGTGCGCTCAGCGGCTCTGAAAAGTCCATCCTCGCGCATGTCATGGTGGATTGGCGTGCTACATCGTCACGGAAAGATTGAAGGAGCTCTTGCATGATAAGCAATAGCCTTCAATAGCCTCTCATCCCTGATTTCCATAGGTTTCCTTTCAGTGGCTCTGGCCGCACCTCTTCCCACACCCCCTCTGAACATCAGGTGAAGCGGGAGACGCATTGCAGGTGTGGCAACTGTTGTCCAAAGCAACTTTGGCATTGATTTGCACCTAGTCCTTTCGTGGAGTCCGTGCTTCCAACCCTTACGAGGAATTTTAAAACAACCCCCTACTCTGAGAGAGCAGAAAGGACAGCATCCCTTTCTGGTGAAAAGGCTGGTAGCAGCCTAAACAGTGCAACAAGCAGCGTGGCGAACAATGAATGACATGGTTCATGAATCACATCCATTTATTGCCGTCAGTGTCAATCAGGGCATGAGCAGGATTGACACACCAAGTCCTGTCGTACAGGCAAAGTAAGTGTCAAAACGTTCGATCGGATTATGATGTGCAGCAGTACTGTTGGGAAGTCCAACACACGGCTGCCAATCACTAGTCCTACCAAAACCATGTGCAGCGCTTGCAGGTACCAATAGGCACACAAGCCACAGCACAAGCGTAGTCCTGGCCACTTTTGCCCTGGGCCTAACTTTCGCTTTTCTCACCGTGTTCTCACAAGGCTAAAAATTGATCGAATTTCCGAACGGCATAGCTAAGAGCCTTATCGGCATCTCCCATCAGGCCCCTCAAACTCCTCCATGGATAGTCGCATGCCTTGCGTAAGCAGAAGTATCTCAGCATGCCGGCCCATGGGCCCAGGAGGGCCTCACAGCCCTCCTGGCTCCCTGTCCCTCACTTGCCAGCACCAGTTCACTAACTCCGAGACTTGAAGAAGAAATCTGATGATGAACGGCCTTTGGTTAAAATGCTCAGTCAACACAAGCACAAGTTACGTCGAGACATGTCTCCTCCTCCACATGCTGCCATGTACACGTACATAGACATCCACATTTGCACATGTGAATGTATACGTACATGTGTGTATATACATATATATGTATACACATACATACAGTTACATACAAATATATATATATATATATATGCGCATACATACACAGCCTTCAACCTGAAGTGAGAGCTTTGAGCCTCCAAGTCCTTGGGCTGCACGTAGAGCCCCGTGAAATCGGCCTCGCCACAGCGGCGCGGCATGGAAGGCCACTGATACTGCGTGACGGAGAGGCCAAGGAAAGCCAAGACCTGCCGGGGAGATTTAGGGATGTTTATTGGAGGTTTTTTGTTTTTTGGCTTTGTCCTTGTCTCTTCTTGTATTGGGGTTTTTGAACGCGGCTTCCGGTCCGGGGCTTGCGGGGCTTGCGATGGAGGGCCTGGCCTGGCCTCGGCAAAGAGGCTTCGGAAGAGCGTCGACATGCCCTTGTGGTAGACGAAGAGGTAGAGCTGCTGATACTCCGGTCGTGGAAAACTAAGGCTTGGAGGAGGGAGCCATTTCAAATAGGCCTTGTCGCCTCTGCGACTGCCTCTTGCAATGTGTAGTGCCGCACGCTCCGGAAACGGATCCTCCGATGCAAAAGCTGCAACGGCTCTACCCTTCAGAGATCTGAACCGAAAGCTCCCTCTTCTTCAAGCTCCCTAGGGGCCTGGGCCCCCCCAGACCGAGACCAGAGTGTGGGAGTCTTATGATAGCAGCTGGAAGCCCCGGAAGCAAAGAAACAAACAAAGAGGAAACAAAGAGGGGGGGTCTCTTCAGGCAAAGGCGTCCAGATTGGTTTCTCGGTGGTACAGCCGGCCCATTCGGTCCATGCGCAAGTGGCAGGTCCACCAATCCTGAAGCATTGATGTTTCCGAGCTTCCATGATCTATACGCCTATACGGGCCTATAAGCGTACCAGTCTTGATGGAGGCTACTTGGTTTCTACGGAGCCTGGCGTTCCCACAGAAAAGCGAATTTCTGGCTGTCGGGGCTCTGGAAGTGCCAACCATTTTAGACCGGTGACCGAATTGCAGCACAAGGGTCTGGGGCACGGCACGTGAAACCCAAGCAGCCCGCAATCCTGAGAGGCTCGGGAACGCACAAACTTGCCCATGCTGCGCGGTCTAAGTTTCCTTCCGCAATGCTTCCCGAGCCCCGTATGATTATATCATTCCGGTGCTGAGGATCAAGCCAAGGCAGCTTAAGAGCTTGCGCCACTCCGCTCTTTAGAGCGTCTAAACGGAGGCCGTCTTCTGAAATGCGTCCCAGCTTCAGATTACAGAGCATGGCAGCTTGCACGCGCCCCTTCAAGGCGAGGGTGTCGTTCCACGAAGACCGGCGAGGCAGTACGGGCATCAGCTGCAGAGAATCGCGCACGTGGTAACCAAAGGATGCCAAAGGCAGCAGGACCTTTGCTAACGTACAGAGAAAAAGTGTGCGCTTCCAGCTCCATATTAACGCAAACACATGTCTGTCAAAATGTAGTAAAAAAATACAAAACAACCAATGTCACAGACACCGGGAAAGGAAGTCGCCAGCACGCTGAATCGCTCTTCTCCCTCGAAGAGCTAATCGCACCGCGACCCAGCTGGCCTCCGGCTGCGCTAGGCATGGGGGCTCAGGGAGGGTGTCAGCGGCTCGAACTGAACTGCCTGTCAAGGATGCATTGCACGTCCAGATGTCCTGACACGGTGAGACGTAATCCGTGGTCAAGAAGGGCAGGAGAAGTGAAAGGCGGATGGCCCGGGTGCGCGGCGTGTACCTCGACCGGACTGGCACCCCAAATCGGCACTTTCAAGGCGGGGAGGGCTCGCGCTGGGCTGTGTGTGGGAGTGCGTGCAGGCCAAGACACACTTGCCGTGGATCTGCCCCATCTTCTGCCAGGACACGGCAACGCCTCGACCAGAGCTCGGCAGCATGCCATTCGAGTCCGACGACCCCGGCCGTCGGTGGCAGCTCCTTGAAACAAGTCTTGCAGCTCTCCAGAGATGCTCCACAGTGGAGAAAGAAGGCATCGAATTCCCTGCCAAAGTTGTCCAGGCAGCTGCCTGGACCGACAGCTACCAGCATGGGCACCGACTCTGCTTTGAGCCGGAAGATGCGGTTCCTCCAGGAGTCACGGTTGAGATTTAACGATGCATCGTTTGTTTCTGTGTAACTTGACCGATCTGGCTTTAGAGAGATGCAGGGCAGCGACGGCGGGCGCGTGTCTCCTTCACTTTCAGGAGTCTCGGGTGCTGGGGCGCGGGGTTTGGTGTTTAGATATATGGCTTCTGTTCTGTCCCTTCTGCTGACTTACTCCGAAAATTCTGGCTTAGATCAGGCTGCTTCAGGGGCGAGCGAGACCACATGGGGATGCCGGGGACTGCCGAGAGAGCAAAAACTCGAGTGTCCGCAAGCGACCATCTGGCAGTGCCTTCTTTAAGCAATGTCGGCCAAAGGTGTCTGGTCCAGGGCCACAGCTCGTCTGTGCTTTCCGTGGTTTCTTGATCGCCTTCTGTTCTGGTGAGACGGGCCGTCAGGGCAGCAGGGCCTCGCCGGCCCCCGTCAGGGACTCCAAGCGCTGCTGCTCTCGCGAGCGCAGGACGAAGCAGTAAGCGGACGCGGGCCCGATAAAGGGCGAGAACAACACGGCAATGAGAACCTTCATGCCACAGCCGGCACTTTCCCGACAACCCTGACCGACTGCGCGACTATCTAGCCAAGGCGCGTCTAGGCCACGGCAGCTTGCAGCCAAATAAACCAGCATCGACAGGCTGAGTACACTCGAGTCAACCTAAGTGGAAGTTTCAGAAAGAAAGGGATCCCAGTACAGTAGTTCGTTACAGAATGAAGCCAATGAAACCCACATAAGGTATCCCTAAGTTTACACTCACACACACACACACACACGCCCGTCTGGTAGAATTGTCTACTGGCCCATGGCGAAACCGCCACGACATCTGGGAATGGAAACAGCTGTCTGTTACTATGCTATCCGAGTCGAAAACTGGACGGACGGTTGTCACAGAATGACTTCCATGATTCCATACCGCCCAATTCTGCTATGTAGTGTTGCTGTGCAGCCATGCTTGCGGACTCGCATTGAAATGGATTGCAAATTGGACCAATCTCTTCGCTTGGCTTCGCGACTAAGCTGAGACCCTCGTGTACCCCAACCCACATGCTCGGTTCCAAGCAACCGACACAGGAACTGACACCCCGGATACCAAGGCACAGTCATGAAGGCCACCCATGGGCTTGCTTTGGGCCCCCAGATTGCTGCCAGAAGCTCTTCCGAGCTGTCGAAGCTGCGCCACGCGCAGTAGATCCTTCCGCGTGCTCTTGCGCTGCTTCGTGTGCTGTTGCGTGCTGTGATCTGCTGGACCCTCAAGTCATCTCGTGCTGCCCGGAAAATGGGAAATATACAATACACACTTCCAGGATACTCGAATGCAATCCTGAGCATCGCCTGCTTCGCCATGTCAGGTGCTTCTGGGAGCTACATTGCATTTGGGGATGGATTTCAATAATCTTTGGGCGATTCATGGGCTTCAGCGAACCAGTGCGAACTGCAGATGCTCAATAGCAGCCGAGCATCAGGTAGTAGTATCCGGCGGCTGAGATCGCAGCCATGATGGAATAGGCTTGTTTCCTGATTTTCGCTTGCGCAACAGAGCAGCATGTGATCTGGCATTCCGACAGCTGGCGCCCCTTGCCAAATGTCAAGGATACTTTTATTTCAAGCCGATGATATTTCCCTCTCGGTTTCGTTCCCTCTTGGACTGCTGTTTGTTCCGTTTCGAAGGACTCCTCGCATCAGAACTTTTATATGGAGGCACTGGCATCGGCCCTGTCAAGAGGAGACATCACTCCAACTGCCAGGCTTAAGCGAGATGCTGGACATCTGATCCACTGAGAATGGACAAGGCTTGAATCCTTTGGGTGCCTCCGGACACCCGCATTTCAGCCAAGCTGCAGCAGCTCGATAGCAGCCGGAACAGGCTTCTCCGGTGCTGGGAACGGCCATGTCAGAATACCGACAAAAGCGAGGCCCTTGACTGCTTTGGACTGCTTTGCGCTTCATAGCATCCGGACGTGGAACACAAACAATCGCAAGAGATTGGATTGCCATGTGCTTTGGGACCAAGGGGCAGGGCCAACCAGGCTGTCTGCACAGATGGTCCAGGCTCGTGTATTTGTGTCCAGGTTGAAAACCGCTGCCTGGCTATTGTCTGTCTGTGTCTCTCCCAGGCTTCGCTACAGGATCCCACGATTCTCGTTGTTTGCTAGACAACGTCACACACACACAGAGATAAACACAATATGGTAAACCGTTTGTACCCCGGCTCGTGGACTGCAGCAGATTTCAGGGCTGCCTCACAAAATCCGGCTCCCTCGTAGCATCAGAAAGCCTGGGCTGAGCCTTGCAGCCTTCTTCCGTTAGACCGTGCGTCGGTTCAACGAAACTCGCTGGTGGCTTGGCCAGGGCCTTTCTTGAGCCTCCCCATTGCTCAACCCTGAGCCAGAAGCCCTAACAGCCACAACTCCCCATGCAGCTAGGAGGCTTCTAAGAGGGTAACCAAGAGCGGAACCAGCCTCAGATCGAGCTCTGGATGCCTACACTGTCAGCCTGAGAATGGCATGAGAACAGCGTGACCTCCCTGGGGTTCAATTCTCCACCTTCGCTCTATCAAGCAAGGCCGAGAGATCACGAGGAGAACCAGAGATCATAAACCGACACCTCTTCTCGAGGTAGAGACTTCTGTCCGCGTAGCATGGCCGTCCAGACACGGCCGGAGGCGGGTGAGCCGCCGCCGGTGCCCTGTCGGAGAGCCGAGCTGACCCAGAAGCACGGGAAAGCGAAGCTGATTCCTCGACGCGTCCCGGGAACCGCAGCGACAAGAGGAGGTGCGCTTAACATAGCCTGGACCCTACTCATCGAAGCCAAAATAGAAACTCTCCAAAAGAATCCTGATGCTAGGGATCGTACGTCTTACATGACAGCTCTCAGTGTCCACCAAAGCCCAAGGCTCCGAAGACCTGACCCAGCAGGAAGGTGAGGATGGGCCAGTTGACGAAAGACTTGGCTCCAGGCCTTCCGGCCTCCAAAAACGAGCGGCTGAGTAACTGCACCGGAATGGAGCCAAACTATGCAAGCCTTCAACACGCACGCGTTGAGCTAACTTGAGTGAAAGGAGCAAAAACAGGCGGCTTCAAGCCGACCAATCGATTCAACCGCTGTCATCACATCTGGGCTTTAAGTGCTGTAACTACTACGACGAATGCTGCTACAATAAACAGTGCTGTATGGTGGGTGTAGGAATCTGAAGCACGTGTGTGTTGGCTTACACCTATCTTCGCTTATGTAGAAACAAGACTACATGACACGACAGGAGCAACATAAAAAAGACACACCGCTTTGTGTCAAAGGCTGTTGCAACGAATGAACCCATAGCCGCCGTGGCCCTGGCTCTTTTGTGCATGCTCTCTCATCTTGTGACATTTTCGAGATCTGCACCAAGGCAGCTGCCTCTCAAGCTCTACACCTCCATCTTCAACGTCACCCCGACTCATCTGGACTCTACGCAAGCAGGCTCAAGAAATACTTGCTGAAGCGTGGCCTCTGTGTACACCATGACCATCAAGGGGAAGAGGTGGATGCCCGCAGCACCCCAAACCAAGATGCCGGCAGGCTCTTTGACCAAGGCAAGCACAAACCTCGTGAGGCGTCGAATTTATTTTGGGGCTATAGCAGCGTGAAGGGTGCAGGGATTTGAGGTTTACTTCGGATGCACGAAACAACTCTGCAGTGCGCAATTTTATGTGGATGTGCATCTTGTATCTTGCAAGGTTGGGCCTTGCAGGGGCAGTTTGCATTCAGCCTTCAGAAAAGGAAGCATGAAATTCGCCAGGAAGCTGCGTGACGATGCAGATGAAGCCGCCCCCCATCTCGCTTTCATACTCGTGAAACCCAGCCTCCTTCAGGGCGGTCATGTCCCCAGCCATACAGAGCTTCTGCATTTTCGGCCTTGTCTGTGCAGTTTGATATCTCTCTTCGCTGCAACTGGTCACAATGTAATTCCAGGCTGGCAAGCTGCGCGGTCGGGTCGCTTCCCACTATTTTGATCTGAGTCATGTAGGCGGCATATATTCCCAATGCAAAGGCAATCACCGTACCGGCTATCTGCGCCTCAGTCGCGCAGCTCACACAAGTCCCCATAGCTGTCGCCTAGCGGCCTAGCCTAGGAGTCTGCGACGCCGAAGTGAAAACCACTGGCCATGCTTGACCGAGGCACTGCGGTGGCCATGGCTTCTGGTCCGAGGGATCTTAAATTCTCCACCCCGGACTCATGTGCCTGCGAGGCTTGGGCAACGAAGAGTTCATGGGCACCTTGACAACTTCAATCGCATGGACATTCAAGCCAAAAGGCTAGTAGCAAGGACTGGAATGCCAAGAGTCTGTGTCAGAGTCAGATAGACTGCACAGACGGTACTGTATGCTCATGCCCAAGCTGAAGGTTTAGCCTGGGGTAAGGAAAAACTTTGCAGTGTGCATTCACGGCATACCAAAGTGGATCTGTATCACCACAGCTTAAAACTACAAAACTCTACACTGCGGTACGCCCATGCTCCTATCCGGGGCTCGCACACGGAATGCATTCGTAGGCTCCTGCTTCGGTTTGACAAGTGCCTTCCTGCTGGGTGCAAGTTTTGCATCACGGTCGACACCGATTCCCACTAGCATAGCAGAACGTAGAATCATGATCACAATTTTCAATTGGGCTGGAATCGTCCACCTTTGCAAATACCACAAAGAATGCCAGACGTTCGACAAGTCAGAGCGTAGTCTAGGAATACTTCCTGTAGGACTGGAATCATTGCATGCATCCTGGACTGCTGTCCTGGAACCTGCTGCAGACCATCTACATCGATGAGTCGTTGCTGGACTGTCGAGAGATGAGTTGGCGAGCTTCGAATAGTGCCACTTCACCTGTTGGCTCGGGGCAGCCGTTTAAGGTCCTCACACTTTCAGGTCAAGTTATGTGCGCTCGCTCAGGCTGAACTTGTCTGCCGAGCCGGCTGTTCCCTCGCAACTGCTTTGATGAATCAGAGGCAAAGCATGGCAAACTGTGCAGCTCTGTGTGTGCGTGCGTGCGTGCGTGCGTGCGTGCGTGCGTGCGTGCGTGCGTGCGCGCGCGCGGGTGTGTGAATGTCTACTTGATTGCACAGCAAGCTTGCTACACACGCTATCTGATCCGCATGTCCATCTTCAAGCTCAGGCACAGCTGTGAGCTCCGCGGCGAGGGCCTCACCCTTTCGACGGTTGCGGCCGCAAAGCAGCATCCTCCAATGCTCTCGCACACAGTGCATTCTGCAAAGCCAGCCCTGGGACAAGAAAGCTTTGTCCCCCCGCATTAAGCCCTGTTGAGATGTAGCCATGTGTACATCACTGGTTCTGACTGTGCCGCCAAACAAAGATGAAAGGACAACACACCGTGAATTCCACTCCTAACACCCTAAGCGCAACACCACCTTTGGGTCCGGCGAAAAGCTAACGCGAAGAAGCAAGAGTCTTGTTCAGGTCCTCTCTAGTATAGGAATCCAGCACGGCGACAAAACAAAGCATTGACCAAAGTCGAGCCTTGAGACTTGAAACGCTGTCTTACTTCCCAGCTAACATCCGCCATCTGGATGAACTCCGCGGTGTGTGTTTCCCGGAAACAACAGGGTAGCTGTGCAAAGTTTACAAGTTTACGACAAAAACAGGCTCCACAAGAAACATGCACTCACTTTCTACCAGCAAACAGTATATCAAAACCATAGGCCATGCCCACAATGGTACTGTACATTAAACTCATGCGAAGCAAACGACACCAGCTGGATTGATTTCTTCCAGTATCTTCTGCTCTAAAGCCAACTCCGAACCAAGTGTGGCCACAGGCAACCAATGTATCGTCTCAGTTGTGGAAGCCTCCAAGTCAAACCACATAAGAGTTGGCCACTGGATGCTTTTTGCATTCCAAGTTGGTATCGGGTTCAGGAAACAATCCGACGGTGTAAACATGGCTTTGACCGCGTTTGAAAGCAAGAGTTGCCTGTCCGTCGCCGCTGGAAATGATGCAAACAGGGGCACAATCAAAACTGATGAGCTCCTGGTCGCATGAATACGCGATGTCCTTTTGCCCATGCTTCCTTTTCCTGCCTTGTCTCAAATTCACAACATGATCAGCAGGGAGAGCAGGTGCAGGCTCTCCTCTTGGTCGTGAAAGAAACGACAACTGTCTCGCCGTCAACATCTTGGATCCTGTTGTCTTCGCCAGCTTCCAAGAACAAGAGTGCTACGGCCAAGTCATCCTGGTTAGAAGCATGAGTAAGGCATGACATTAAGTGAACCCGGTTTGCATCTGCCAAAACCATGCGGGCAATTAAAATGTGGGCTTGTTCACGGTGCTCTCTGATGTTGGCACCGGCTTCCACGAGCTGCGAGCAGCGTCAAAACGGCGTCTCTCTCGCATGAACGCATGAGGGCTATGTTGTCATCAATGACATTATTCCAGTCCTTGTTTGCACAAGCTTCCGAGCGCATGTATACAATCTCCGTGTGGGCTTGGTCGCATGCATGTACAAGAGTAGTGGTGCCACCAACGACGCCCTTCAAATTCGGAATGTTGGCTACTTTCAGGAGCATGTGCGCGACCTGAATGTAGCCGCCACCTGCCCGAATAAGGTCGCCAACACTGATATACCTGAAAGTTGGATTAGCCTTTGCCTCCGATAGCATGTGCTCAATGTTTGCATGCCCTTTGTCGCTCGCAGAAATACGAGCTGCAACCCTTTACTCAATCCAGCTCGAACAAAAGCAATGGCATGGCTTCAACATTGCCTCTCTTAGGTGCACGAGCCAACGAGTGCACACTGTCCCCCTATGAATTGGGCACAGGTACTAACACCAGCCGCGAATCAACGGCTGCAGTTCAACACAATGATCCAAACCACGAGTCTTTGAGAAGTCATAAAGGAAATTCGGATGCTAACTGTCACTGCAGCCAGGTCCTGACCTAAAAAACTTGAGACACGGATTACCCCAATTGGCCGAAAAATTGTGATGAAATGGATCACCTTGGTGTACGCAAGGTGAAGACAAACATGGGTCCCACGCTCATCGGGATGACGCAGTCGTTTTGGTTGTAAGAGATGGCCTGTACGAATATCCAAGTATATACTTCATAACCATGTCTGTTCAAGGCATAGGCGTGACAATTTCAGTGGCCCCCAGACAGAGAATCGAAACGATGACTCAGCAGCTGGGCTGCTGAAGATGAAGGGAGTCAGGCATTTGGGCAACCGTAGATTCGGGGTTGAGGCCATCTGAATCTGACACGGACTCTCTCCTGCACAAAGCAATTCAAGTCCATTGATTCACCCCACCTGTCGAAGGCACGCTCTTCGGCCACTCGCCGTGCGAAGGCCGTGCCAAGGCGAGAGGTGGCTCCAGTGACAAGGAGAACACGTCGGGGGTCCTGGGAAGATCTGGCCGTCAGCACATGATGTTGTTTTAGTAGTAGTAGTAGTAGTAGTTGTTGTTGTTGTTGCTGTTGTTGTTGTTGTGGCAGTGGTAGTGGTAGTAATATCAGTAGTAGCAGCAGCAGCAGCAGCAGGAGGAGGAGGAGTAGTAGTAGTAGTAGTAGGTGCGTCCCCCCTAACCAACTACCTCTGCTGCCAACCCTC